AGGGGAAAGGAAGAAAGGGAAAAGAAAAGATGTGCGAAAAGGAAAAAAATGGAAACAAAGTCTTTGCAAATAGGGAAGGGTGGAGGGGTGAAGGGAGGGCAGGGGAAGAGGAAAAAAATAAGAACTAAGATACTCATGTAAAGGTACAAGATCCCAATGATGAATGTAACTGTATTTTATATCTAAAATGTACCAATAAACTTAATGGAAAAAATGTAAATTGGCTGCTTCAAAAGAAGAAAAAATTATAAATATCTCATTAAAACTAAATTTGGAAAATATTCTGATGAACAAGTAAAGATTAAATATTCATTTAACATAAATTATTTCATTAAATAAATATTTCAGATATTGTTTTGCAAGTATTCCTTTTGGCCCTGAAGATACAGCAGTGAGCATTTTCCTGGAAAAGCAGAGGAACCACTTCACGGTGGAAGAGATTGGATAAGAATCCGATTTGGGTGGAGGGTAGATAAAAAGTTCACCTCTGGATGTTATCATAGGAATTGTGATGGGCTACTAGTAACAGAAACCCAAACTAAACATACAGAATTTTTATCTCTTAAATGGGAAAAATCATGGGGAGGGAGATATAATTCAATAGTAGAGCTTTTGCCAAGCATGCATGAGGCCCCAGATTTGATCCCCAGTACCAAGAAAAAAAATCTGAAGAAGCACACTGAAGCTTTTATGGCTTAATAAAGTTATCAAGATCCCAAGTTCTTTTTTGTTTTACTATCCTTAGCATGTGATTTCTATCTCAAAGTCAACTTATGACTGCTGGATCTAAAATGACTGCTGGATCTCCAGTTTGGACAACTATATTCCAGGCTAGAAACAGAAAAATGAAAGCAGGGCAAAAAAATATACATGCCAGCTTTATGTAATCTTTTAAAGAGCCTTCTCTGAAGTTCCACCCAACAAATGCTCATAACAACTGCCCATTGGCTATTCTGAATTATACAGAAGTCTAAAAAATGTAATCTTTTAGCTAGGCTTTTTTTGTTGTTGTTTTTTTGAGACGTAGTCCTACTTTGTAGTCCAGGCTGGCCTTGAACTATGTAGTCCAGGCTGACCTCAAACTTGCAGCGATCCTCCTGCCTAGGCCTCCCCAGTGCTAGGATTACAGGTATAAGCTACCACACCCAGCTATCTAGGAATATTTCTAATACAAAGTCAAATTGGAGGGGTGGGGATTTAGCTCAGTGCTTCCACCACCTGCCTTGCAAGGTCCCAAGTTGGATCCCCAGTACCCACCCCCCCAAAAAAAATCAAATTGGAGTCCTGAAGAAGGGTCTAATAGATATTGGGCAGACAATTACTGGTAGCATCTTCTGCCACTGACGTGCTAAGTTTGGGATGCCTAATAGACATCTAAGTGGAAGAATTGGAAAAGCAGTATAATATATCTTTGACAAGTAAAATTCATTGGCCTTTCCTTTACAATGTGTTGTCCCTATTTTGAATTTTAATGTATTAAAAAATTACTAGGTTTTTCATAGATCTAATAAATTGTGACTTCAGTCATCTGAATTCTATTTTCTCCATTAAGGTTTTAATTTTCTCAACCCTAAATTCTTCTCCCAAAAGAGGTCATTTATATAGTTGGATTGGGACTACTTATCCTAAATTTCATAAATTGTTCTTTTTTGTATTTTTAGCCATGGCCCGAAGATGCTCTTGAACTTGTAGCTGTGAAATTCTTAGAAACACTGGAGCTTACTGAGGTTGAACGACGAGAGGTAGTTCCAGTCTGTAAACACTTCCACACCTCCATTATGGATCTTTCAGACAGGTTAGTGGTAATCAGTTTTAAAATGCCTTTTTTGTTTGTTTGTTTGTTTGTTTGGTACTGGAGATCAAACTCGGAACCTTGTGCTTGCCAGGAAGGCAGCAGAAACACTGAGCTAAATCCCCAGCCCAAAATGCCATATATGTATTTTTTTCTTTTTTCTTTTTTTTTTTTTTGGTACCCGGGATCGAACTCACGACCTTGCACTTGGGAGGCAGGCGCGATGCCACTGAGCTAAATCCCCGCCCAATGCCTTATATTTTAAATCATCTCTTCCTGCAAGAGTCCTAAATTTTTATGATGTTATGTCTTCTGAATCTTTCTGATCGTCTAATTAGTTAAGATCTTCAGCCTACAAGTAATGGAAATCTACTCAGTCTAGATTTAGCAAAACAGGAAATTTAGTATAAAGATACAGGTGTGTTAACAAAGCTTAAGGGAGAGAATGCAGCTCAGTCTCAGAAGTGACCAGAAGCAGGAGTTATAATGCCATCAGGAACCCAGAAATGTTTTTTCTGTTTTTCATTACTCCTTCTCCCTGGGTATTTGCTTGCTTTTTTCTCTTTGCAGACTGAATTTTATACTTCCCAGTGCATTTGGAGAAAGCTGGATGCCTCCCAGCTTTCAGGTTAACTTCTTCAGTTTCAGAGGCAGGCAAAGACAAGCTGACTATTTCTAGCTCCCTATTCCAAATTTATTCCAAAAATGATTAGCCTTGTTTGTATGAACAGCTATGGTTAAAAGTAGCAGGTTTCAGCTGGAGATGTTGGCATGTGCCTGCAATCCAAGCATTCTGGAAGGCTGAGGCAGGAAGATTGCAAGTTCAAGGCCAGCCTGGGCAACTTAGTGAGACCTTGTCTCAAAATTTTAAGAAAGAGCTAGAGACGTAGTTCAGTATGAAGGCCCTGAGTTCAATCCCTGGCACCCTCTCCCCCAAGTAGCAGGTTTTATAGATCAAACATTGCTGCTGAGGCACCAGGTAGCAGTTCTCAGAGGGAGCTGATCCATGCATTGTAGATGCCTCTGAAGAATTTGTTCTATTCCGGCATCTGCCTCACAAACATAAGGTCCCAAGTTCCATCCCAGTACCAAAAAAAAAAAGAGTTTGTTCTAATTCTATTCATTTCTGATATCCTCATTTCAAAAATACATAAACCGAAGTGCTTGTGATATATTGTCTACTCAAAGTCAAGTAGCCAGCCAGCATGGTTGGTTAGGACAGAGGCACCAAGCAATGTGCTGTACTCCACAGACTTGTCATGAAATATGACTGTTTCCATTATATCATTCAGCCAATATGTAATTGTGCAAAGAATGATGACTGATGCTTGGTGTCTTATCTACAATTCTCTTTCTGACTTCTACCTGCCTGCCTTACACTGTTTCTCAGTTTTCTTACAAGGCTCTTGGCTTATAATCCTCCTGGCTTATGAAAGATTTTTTTTTAAAGCATATATCTTTTTCTGATGCAGTTCACATTTTATAGACATCTTCATTGATTTGTGCTTTTTAAATACATCATTGCTATTGGTAACTTGCAGACAAGAAATCAGGATATAGTTATGTAGAGAATTCTGGAGTCATAAAGTTCAAGTATTTGGCAGCTTCTACATAAACTTTATATTTTATTCTTAAATGTTTGTTGTTAACCACTGTGTTGAATTTACCTCTTTGTGAAATTCATTACTTATAGTGAGGTATGTTGCCTGCCTGTCTTTCAGGTTCTTGAGTGAGTTAGAACGACATAACTATGTTACTGCTACTTCTTACCTTGAACTTATTGGCTCCTTTCGACAACTTTTGACTAAGAAGCGACAAGCTATTATGGAAGCAAAGCAACGATATGTAAATGGACTAGACAAATTAGCTTTTGCTGAGTCCCAGGTAAATTTGATGAGCTGGTCAAAATAGTAATATGTACTGAGATAGATAAGTAGTAGTAAAACAAGAGCTATAATTTATTGAGACTATACTATATGTCAGCCTCTGTGTTGTGTACTGCACAAGTATTCCTTCAGTTATTGCTCATAACAACTCCGTGAGGTAGTCATTATGATCTTCATTTTACAGATGAATTTAGTGAGTTTTAGAAAAATTCATTAAGTTGTTCAGAACACACAGATTTTACAGTTTTATTTTTAATGTTTTGGGCCTTTGAAAAGTATAAGAAGACTCTGTTGACTTTACTATAACAGGTGTTATATATAAGACTTAGATGTTTTAATGAGTCAAATGTTAGTATTTCTTGTGTTAGTACAGTATAATAGAGATTTTTGTTGGTTCATTTTCACATTGCATACCATTCATATAATATAATAGAGTTACCTAAGATGTTGGGTTTTTTTCTGGCTGCATTGCTTTCGTGGCAAGTGCCTTCTCTTGCTGTTATATTACAGACTCAAGGAAAAGAAAGCCTTTTGTGAAAAAAACTGGCTATACTCATCTTTTTATCCTGCAAAGAATGGGAAAGATGTTAAGATTTTCTTTTCTAAGACTTTATGACACATTTGAATTTCTATTTTCTGTGTTTGGAGTAGCTATTATAGCAATAGAAACTTAATAACAGATTGTCTATTTAGGTTGGTGAAATGAAAATGGAGCTTATTCAATTACAACCCAAGCTGGAGGAAGCTAAAATTGAAAATGCACAGATGATGCAGGTAGAGTCTCCTAAATGTTTCTTGGGAATGTCAAAAGACATTTGAAATAGGTAAAATTATCCTTGAAAATAAACAATTTTTGTCACTAACATCAGGGATTTTTACCCTTTTCAGTTGACTGGAGATATCTCACTGGGTCCCAAGTGGGTTCAATCTTTTTTTTTTTCCTGGTTTTAAAAAATTTATTATAAGTACATGTTTACATTATATAATGATTTTCCTTGTGGGGAGTTGGTAATGTACATAACACATTTCAGTTCTTTTTATCCCCTTTTTCTCCCCTCCCTACCCCTTCCTTCCATTTCTTGATCCCTTTCCCATTTGAAAAAGATCTATCTCCCTACTTCCTATTATCTGTCTTTTATTTTGCTCTTATTTATATTTTGATTTTCTTATATAAGGGAAATTTTGTGATAGTTAAGCTTGTGTGTCTGATTTACTTCACTTAACATTATGGTTTCAAGGTGAATCTGGTTTTTTTTTTGTTTGTTTTTTTGTACCAGGGATCCAACTCAGGTCCTTGAGCTTGCGCAGCAGGCAGGCGGTGAAAGCACTGAGCTAAATCCCCAGCCCCGTGAATCTGTTTTAAAGGGAGGTGTTGTAAAGCCCATTTCCAAATGAGGTCAACATGTATTTGCATTTCTCTTCATTTTATCCCAGACCCTTCTATCCTGCAAAATGATTTGTTTGAATCCCCTAATTTTCAAGTATTCCTTTTCCCCCTGTTTTTAAAAAACCAATAGGATGCTTGAAGAATTGTCTTTGTTTCTTTTTTTTTTTTCAGGTTATTGAGATTGAATCTGCGCAAGTAGAAGCAAAAAGAAAATTTGTGAAATTAGATGAAGAGATAGCCAGTGGAAAGGCTGAAGAGGCCCAAGCTCTAAAAAATGAGTGTGAAAGTGACCTCGCTGAGGCGATCCCAGCCTTGGAAGCAGCTCTGTCTGCACTGGATACACTTAAGGCAAGTGATTAGATTAACCACCTTGGGTTTCATCAACAAAGTGAAACTGTGTATAGGCCTTTGGTTAATTAGGTGTGGTACTATTTCAGTGGGTGGTGTTATGTTGTTTTTATCTAATCATTTGAAACTTGCTTCTTCATAGTTTTTCAATATATTGTTATATTTATATTTTTACTTTTCATATATTATTTATAATTTCCAATCACAATATTCCAGTGGGAAAGGAATGAACAATATCTGGGAGGCCAAATTGGACCAAGAGACATGGACCAGGAGACATGTTAAAAATAGTGTGGTTGGGCTGGGGATTTAGCTCAGTGGTTTTGCTGCCTGCTGTGCAAGCGCAAGGACCAGAGTTTGATCCCTGGTATCCCCCCCAAAAAAATAGTGTGGTTGGGGCTGGGGATTTAGCTCAGTGGTTCTGCCACCTGCCTTGCAAGTGCAAGGACCTGAGTTCGATCCCCAGTACCAAAAAAAAAATGTAGTTATATAGGGCCTGGATTCAATCCCTATCAGGAAGGAAAGACAGAGAGAAAAAGGGAGGGGAAAAAGGAAGGAAGCAAGGGAGTGAGGGAGAAAGGGAGAAAGGGAGCAAAGGAGCAAAGGAGGGAGGAGGAAGAAGGAAGAGAGAGCAGGAAGAAAAGGAGAGGGAGGAAGTAAAGAAAAGAAAAAGAAAAAAGAAAAAGTATGTAGAGCTACTCTGCAGCCTTGTGGACGTGTATGCACAGAAAAATTTAAAAGTCATTTCCAAAGTGGTGTGCGTACCATGCTGTGTTATATATGACTTTTACAGAATGTTTAGACAAGACCAGGACAACCTTACAAAACAGCAGGAGAGACAGCATCTGTTGACTGGGGAGACCTAGAGTAATATGGAGGCTCAGGATATTCAGACACTGTTCTTTACCTTTTTTCCTAATCAATGTCTTAATTTTCATATAAGAGACCTGGCAAGACTGTGAACTCAATATGTGGGTAATCTAGCATCTCACAAGACAAAACTATCAGAATTTCAATTATATCAGCCCTGTAGCAGTTATAAGACAAGAGATTATTTTAGAGCATTTTAAAACTTCCTAGTATTCTCACTGTGTGATGAATCCGGAATTTAAAACCCTGAACTTACTACTTTCTTTGTTTGTGTTCTCTGGCACATTTAAAAGCCATGAGCTACCCCATGTTCCAACTTTCAGCACTCCTGCCTTTGTTTGATACAGGATTCTTGATGGCTTCAATTCCCAACAGTTCAGATCATTAGGTTCCCCTTTCATTCTGAGCCTGTTGCTTCTACCCTTCTTGGTATGCCATGCTGTATTATATGAGTTAGGCTTCAGTTGCAGAAAACTGAGTTGATTCTATTTAATATAAGCAGATAAAAAAAATTTAACAGGAACAGATCCTAGACTGAGTCACTAGAAATGACTCACAAAGCCAAACTGTGCAAATGGTTTATCAGTGCAGCTGTCCCTCTGAGAAGGCAGCCCTCAGACCCACACTGTCTCCCTTTCAGCAAAACGGATGCCTCACATCTATCCCCTCCCCCTTTATTGTCTGAATTCTAGTATCACTCAACTGATCTGATAGTGGAACCTAATTCTCACTCAGAGCTTTAGTTGCATGGAAACTAAGATACATAGTTGTTAGCTTTCCAGCATTTGTGTCATTGCAAGGAATGTTAGAGGGACAGTGGAGTGATTAGTAAGTGAGTAAATCTATAGTATCTGTCATAACAATATAGACTTCTTTAGAAATTAATTTTTGAATCTGGACCTACTTCTTTCATTTTTGTCAATAAAACTAATATTATACATGAGGAAATAAAGAATTAAGTCTTTGGGCTGGGGATTTAGCTCAGCAGTTCCACCGCCTGCCTCGCAAGCTCAAGGTCTCGACTTCGATCCTTGGCACCAAAAAAAAAAAAAAGAATTAAGTCTTTGTTTATATTAGGGTTCTTAACTTAAGTTCTATGAATGGGCTTGATATATGCTTTGTATATGTGCAAAATACACATTTTGTGGGGGGTTCATAGCTGTCATGATATCCTCATAAGGATCTGTGAGCCCCCAAACATTTGTGAAGCATTAGTTTTAACCTGTGCTAAATTCTCTTTTGCTAATTCTTTCATAACCATGCAAGACCCCCCATCACAATTCTAAATTAAAGGGGATGATTTTTCATTCCCCAACATTACTTTTTAAACCCTCATTACTTAAAGCTAAACTATTCTGAGCATGTCTTGTTTTCTTTTGATTTAGCCAGCTGATATTACCATTGTGAAATCAATGAAGAATCCTCCATCTGGTGTTAAGCTAGTTATGGCTGCTATTTGTGTCATGAAAGATATAAAACCAGAAAAAATTTTAGATCCTGCAGGAACTGGAGGCAAGGTAATAATTGGACATAGATTTAAATCATATTAATTAAATGTACAGAACTTCTATGCAGCAACTATTATGAAATTAAATGTCAACAGTACCCAATCCAATCCAAACAGCTTTCCGAATGAATGGGCTCCTCATTATCCATAGAAAACATGTATTCTAGGGAGTATAGTGCTGGGAAAAATGTGGTTCCAATTGCTTTTATCTCCTTTTCTGTTTATGCAGGACTCCAGTTATATGGGGTTGGATTGAACAAATACTGAGATACCTGTACTTTTGCAGCTAAGATTCTGGAGAATATGATTTATATAATATATAAGTGTTGTTTTTGAGCATTCAGAAAATTCTGCTGAGTTAAGTAAGCAGTACAGTGGTGCTTCAGTTTATGAACTTAATTTGTTTTATGATTTTGGGGAAGATGGCTGTGTTTGTGTCTCTGTGGGGAAGATAGCCATGCTTCTGTTTATCACCCATTGCAGAGTTTGTGAACAGAAGCAAAATTTTGTCGAATGCTTTTGTTTGTGAGCCAAATTGTTTGGAAACAGAAACATTTGTGAACCAAGGTATTACTGTATAGTGAAATTGTTAAAAGCATGTGTTCTGGAGACAGAATGTCCTGACCCTGCAAGCAGCATGGCCTTGGACAAAGTGCTTATTCTTTAAATAGAAGATAATCATAGTACCTACCTGATAGGATTAGGGTAATTAATACATACAGTAATGCCTTGGTTCACGAATGCTTCTGCTCACAAACAGTTTGGTTTTTGAACAGAAGTGTTCACAAAATTTTGCTTCCATTAGCGAATTCCACATTGGGTGACTAACATGACTGCAGCCATCTTCCCCAGAATTATGGACCAAATTAAGTTCGTGAACTAAGGCACTATGTATAAACCTCTTTTGTATAAAGCCTCATAAAGAGTAAACACAGAGCCAGGGATTTAGCTCAGTGGTTCGAGCTCCTGCCTCGCAAGCACAAGGTTCTGAGTTCAATCTCCGGTACCAAAAAAACTAAACACAATAAGTGTAAACTGTTACTGCAATTATTATTCAAGTCTAGATCCCTTAAAAAGGCAGCATAACATCCATTCTAAATTTGGACATATCTTCTTTTCAGAATTTTATTATACCTGGGTTTGAATTCCTGAATTGGAAAACTGGGATTTGTTTGTTTGTTTCTTCTCTTCCTCTCTTCTTTCCTTTGCTATCCTATCCTTCATTGAGATAATTTTTAAAAAGTGTGTTCTCATCAAGTTATTCTCATTTACATGAGTATGCCTATATAGGTGAAGAGATTGTAAGAAAAATGCTTGCTACTTTTCTTATTTGAAAGAATCAAAGAACAAAGGAAAATAAAAGTTGAAGTAATAAAAATTATTTTCTTCTATGAAGTTCTAATGGTGTCCATGCTAGCTGTTTTTCTTAAGTCTTCAAAAGAAATAATCATGTTTTCCTTTCCACCTTTAATAAAAATTCAGTCTGTAAATTCATGTCCATATTTTAAAAATTTCATATATTTAACATGTTCTAAGGAGGGGAGTCTTAGTTTTTAAGGTGATATAAGTTGATATTTTGAAAGTATATAAATGTTTTTTCTGGATAATAAATTAAAAGTTAAAAGTTAAGAATTTTACATTGAGCATTTTAAATTACACAATTTAATACATTTCTATAAATTTTATTTGTAGATATTAGATTACTGGGGACCTAGCAAAAAACTTCTGGGAGATATGAATTTCTTAAGAGATTTGAAAGAATATGACAAGGACAACATTCCAGTAAGTTACATTAGATATTTTTTCTCTAAATGTGACTTTACTAACATGTATAAGATCTTTAAAATTATGTAATGTTGTCAAAAACATAGAGGTATAGTCATTTTTAGGATTAAGGAAATTAATAAGGGATATTAGTTGTTATCCCATTCATGCCAAAGATTGAGATTTTTCTGAATTTTTGAATGAAATTCATATATGTTACCTAGAAAAATTCAAGGAACAAGAATTTGAAGAGAAAACAATGTTCTTGTGTTCCATTGTTATAGGTATTTCAAAAATGAAACACGAGGCATTGAAGGGTGAATGATGTTATTTGAATTTCTGTAAGGCATAAAACCACTGTTTCCGATGATTAAAAAATTATTTAATAAATTACTGCTTTAGTACAGTACTGACTTGAAAGAGATCTCTAAATGTCTTCTTATAATAGTTTACTGAGAAATTTTATACACATATTTACATGAGAAAGTATCTTTTTTTTTTCTTTTTGAGACGGGTTCTCGCTATGCTGTTGAGCCTAACCTTGAACTCACTGTGTAGCCCTGGCTGGCCTCAAACTCATGGAGATACTGCTACCTCAGCCTCCTGAGTGGTGGGATTACAGGCATGTGCCACTACACCTGGCTGCATTGTTATTTATTAATGTTTAATTGCTCATTTCCTTTGTTTTCATTTGCTCTCTCAGTGCACAAAAGTCTTTCAGTACCTTTGGATACCTTTTTTTTTTGGTACGGGGGATCGAACTCAGAACCTTGAGCTTGCAAGGCAGGCGTGGCGCCACTGAGCTAAATCCCTGGCCTTTCAATACCTTTGAAAGAAACATCTTGCCTCAATATTTATAATAAATTTGTATATTTTCTAACAAATATTACTTGTATTTCTTCTGTAATTATGTTTCTTTTAAATTATCTCAAAACATTAATTTCAGTTTATAAAGACAACATAACTTTTTATTCAAAAGTTTGGGATATTTGTTGAAATTTTAAAATCTAAATCTTTGTTGTATAGGTGGCTGTTATGCAGAAGATTCGTGGTGAATACTTGACAAACCCTGAATTTGATCCGCCTAAGGTTGCTAAAGCCTCTTCTGCAGCCGAGGGTCTGTGTAAGTGGATAATGGCTATGGAAGTGTATGACAGAGTTGCAAAGGTATTTTGAGGCACAACATTTTCTACTAAAATATTCCCAGATGTTAAAACCTACTACTGTATATATATTCAAATTTACCAGTTGGGAAGTTTTTCAAAGTGAGTCTAGGAAGAATTTGTCCTGTTGCACCAAAATTATCAGACTTAGATTGTGTACCTCGAAGATGAGGAAAATTTAACTCGGTTGGGGCTGGTATGGTAGGTACAATCAGTGGAGTTGTCCAGACTGACCTAGGCCCTCAGGCAAAAGGGAACTAAGGTGTGATGCTAGAAAACAGAAATTTAAAAATCCGTAGGCCGGGGATTTAGTTCAGTGGTTCTGCCACCTGCCTCATAGGCTCAAGAACCCGAGTTGATCCCCAGTACCAAAAAAAAACCACAAACCCAAATACTGCATTCACCTTTTAAGATTCTGTATATGAGTGGAATTGGGTGTTATTTGTCTTTCTGTTCCTGGTTTATCTCACTGTAACATCCTCCATGTTCATCTGTGTTGCTGAAAGTGACAAAATTTCATTTTTTTTATGACTGAGTAGTATTTCTCGGGTAAAAGGCCCAAAACCAAGACCAGACCAGGCCACAACAAGCCTTTATTAGGGGAACAGATCTGCCAGGCTGTCTCTGAACAAAGGAGAGACAAAAGCAATATGGACAGGACAGCAAGTGCCTTTTATAGGGGCTTGTAGGAGCTGAGGTGGGGTTGAGTGAGGTAGTGGCTAGGGACTGGAGGAGCCTGTGACGTCACTAGTTGCTAGGAGGAGAGCAAGTATTAGGTTACTCTTTTGGTGGGAGTAGGGGCATGTTGAAAAGAAGGTAGCTATTTTATACAGCAGCCACCCTAAATTGGAGGAAAATCTATCAATATTCAGTTTGGTATAGTACCACATTTTAAAAATCATTTGTTAATAGATACTTAGGTTGATTCTGTCTTGGTTGCTGTTATCTTTTTGACATACTGATTTAATTTCCTTTGGATAAGTAAGAAGGTTACTTGGGTTTTTTGGGGGGAGGGGCAGGAAGGGGAAGAGGTTGGTCAAAGTATTGTATACATAATTACAATTAGAAAGGAGGAATTTTTTTTTTTTGGTACCAGGAAATCGAACTCGGGACTTTGTGCTTGCGAGGCAGGCACCAGAACCACTGAGCTAAATCTCCGGCCTGAAAGGAAGAATTTTTAAATTGTCCAGAATAGGCAAATATACAGACACAAAGGAGATAAGTGATTGCCTGAGGCCAAGAGATTAGGAAGTGTGGATGGGGGAAGGGTAGAAATCCTGTACGGCAATGCCTTGGTTCATGAAGTCTCCTTTTTACGAACAGAAACATTAGGTAAAATTTTGCTTTGGTTTGCAAACTCCACATCGGGTAACAAACATAACTGCCACCATCTTCTACAGAATCACGGAAGAATAAGTTTGTGAACCGAGGTGCCATTGTAACTAGTAATGGTTATAAAGTTTCTTTTTTGGATAATAAAGTGTTCTAAAATTGATAGCGGTGATGGTTGCCCAACTCTTGTGAGACCGCTGTCCTTACCAAACGCTCCAAGGAGCTGACTGTAGTGAAGCACACCCAGGGATCCCTGCGGTGCCTCCAGAATGTAAGACCAAGGGCCTTACCAAACGCTCCGAGGAAGGAACACACCGCTCCGAGGAAGGAACACACCGGACAAGTTGGAAAGTGAAACACCTTAGTCTGGCCAGACGGCACTCCCAAAGCAAAGTAGTTTAGAGAAGCAATCAGCCCAGAGTCTGAGGCTCTTTTTATAGGGGGTTGCAGGGAAGTTAACAGGCGAAATTTACAGAAGAGGGAACAAAGGTTAGTGGTCTTACATTTGTATGTTAATTAGCCTGATATGTACTGATGGTCAGCAAATGTTTTGTAGACTGTTCTATAGATAGCAGTGTCCAGAACATCAGTTTTCGAACAAAGAGTTGAATAATTATGGCTGATACAGATCTTATCTAGTGTCCCGGAACTAACAAGCATTTTTATCTATTTACTCACATTCAATCACTGTTGGGGCTAGGGGAGTTTTATGATTACAGAGTTATGCAGTCCCACACTCTGAACATACTTAAAACCATTGAATTGTATACTTTAAATGGGGAATTGTATAGTATGTGAATCATATCTCAATCAAGTTTTAAAAAATTTGATTCAAAAGGTTAAAAGTAAGATCCATGAGGAGTAAGAAGGTACGTACTATAGGGTTAAGAGGCAGAGCATGCAGAGATCCCCGGAAGCAAACGCATGCATTGACAGGGAACCTTTCATGGAGTATGCACTGGAGCCAAATTTCTGGGAGAGAAGAAAATAGTTAAAAACATTTTGTAAATTTTTCTGGTAAAAGATCTAGAAACACTTTCTGCAGCTTACATAATTCTACCTAAGGAAGCAGGAATATAAACTAAATGGCAGATGAAAATACATGATAGCATGTATTTAGAATAAGATCAGAGGATAGAATGATCAGGCTATAGCAACTGGCAAGATATTCCTCTGTACATCCTGTGCTTACAGAGAGGTAAAGATTTTGTTAAGAAGAGAGAACTTGTAATAAGCCTATCAAAGGAATGAAACTAACCTTACCTCGGATGTCCTTCCATTGAACATCTTGTTTCTCCACACAGTAACCTCATGGCAAGTCTGTTAGCTCTCAACTTAGCTAATTTCTGCATGTCCCACTGTTACCTGGTGCTTAGATTCCAACCACTTGCCGCTCCCCAAGAACACTGGAGACACCAGTCTTTGCTGAAAAAGGAACAAAGAATCGCTTCTCGCTTCTCGGCCTTTTGGCTAAGATCAAGTGAAAAAGGAACAAAGATTTATTCACAGCTACCACTTAAAGGAGATAGAGAGGCCTTTTACACTTGATCTTAGCCAAAAGGCGGAGAAGCAATGAGGGGCATCTTACTACCTCAAATCACATCTCACTGTGTTTAAATGTGCAAAGACTTTTACAGTTTAGGAGGAGAGGAAAAAATACAATGAAACAACAGGAAGTTCTCAGGCTGTTTCATCCATTCCCCTACCTCCACCATAGCCCTTCTCCCATTCTCAGCGCTGGCCTTTCTGGCGGAAATGAAACTGAACTCCAACTTCCTAGGGCCAGCATCTGCATATTCCTTCCAGATAGGTGAGTTTTCTGCCCATTTATCTGAGCCAAGGAGAGGGAGTTGTGGTGGCTTATTCTCTCAGCCTGAGGAAGTTTGGAGAAGCAGCTCAACTACCTACCTACCTTCCTTCCTTCCTTCCTTCCTTCCTTCCTTCCTTCCCCTCTTCTTCTTCCTTCTTTTTAATGCAGTACTGGGTATTAAACCCAGGAACTCTTCACTGTGCCTTATCTCCATACCCTTTTTATTTTTTTATTTTGAGACAGTCTGACTAAATCCCTAAATTGGTCAATCTGGACTAGTGATAGGTCTCCCACTACCTCAGCAGCTATTATGTATAGTAGCTGCCCTCTTTCTATTGTGCCTTGGCCCCTCCCCTGTGTGACGTTATGCCAAGATGGTTGCTCCCACCAAAGAACAAACCCTTCTTCCCAACATGCTCCTGTTCCTGCCTAGAGAGTAACTTAATACTTGCTCACCTCCTGTCACCTAGTGACATCACCGGCTCCTCCATTCCCTAGTCACTACCTCACTCAACCCTGCCTCAGCCCCTACAAACCCCACCCCAGTCTCTATAAAAGACTCTCCCTGCCCCAGCCATATTGCTTTTGTCTCTCCTTTGTTCAGAGACAGCCCGGCAGATCTATTCCCCTAATAAAGGCTTGTTGTGGCCTGGTCTGGTTTTGGTTTTCGGCCCTTTTACCTGACAACTAGAACTTGCCATCCTCCTGTCTCAGCATCTCATAGTGCAGCCGCTCACTTTTTAAAGATCCATTTTACCTTCTCACTTATGCAACAACATATATGGATTTTTTCTGGATCCTTTGTATAAAACACAGAAGCCAATGTGCTAAGGCCCCTCCCTGTCTTCCCACTCTGTACTTCCACATGGCTGTTTTTAATTCTGATGCGTCTGTCCCATGTTGATGAAGCGTTTAAGGGTAATATCCAACACTGTCTCCTCTGAAGTCACTTTAGAAAAGGGAGCTACCTGCCTTCTATCAACTTATTTAACACATTCTTCCTTTAGGATTTCAGCCCAGGGAAGAGAAAACAGGACATTGGTTTCTGATACATTCTTCTCATTTCCTTCTTTACCTTCAGCTTCATTCAAGGTATATACTGAAAGGACTAAGACTACCCTCTTTCTAACTGACATAGACTCTCTGGTCATCTTCTAAATTCTTTGTATCAGTGGTTTAGTACATTCAGTGATCAAGTTGGCCAAACTTCATTCTTGATATGCTAATGAGCACAACCACCACAACAAAAACAATTTTAGAAAGACCCCTTTGACACACTCATGGCAATCAGAGACCACCACAGGGATAAAGGACAAACTAATTCTTGGGCTCTTAACCCGTGGCTCATTAAAACAATGATTTGTATTTTCTTCTAAAATAATCAGGGACTTGGCCAGGTGTGGTAGCACATGCCTTTAATGTTGGCACTGGGGAGGCTGAGGCAGGAGGATTTCCATGATTTTGAGGCCAGCCTAGGATACATAGTGAGTTCAAAGCCAGCCTGAACTACATAGCAAGACCCTGTCTCAAATAAAATAATCAGGGACTTGGGCTGGGGATTTAGCTCAGTGGTGCTGCCACCTGCCTCAAAAGTGCAAGGTCCTGAGTTCGATCCCTGGTACCAAAAAAGAAAGAAAATAATCAGGGACTTAAAAGCAGTTTTTACTAAAACCTCATGTCTTCACTTGGGCCTATAAATACCCAATAGGTACTAAAAGCAGAGCAAGCTTGAATTTAAATTTTGTGTCTTTTATGACTTTAAAACTTTAAATAAGGGTATGTTACACTTTTTTTTTTTTTTTTTAAGTCAGCAGATGGGGTCAGAGATGTAGCTCAGGGACACTGCACCTGCCTGGCAAATGCAAGATCCTGAGTTCAATCCCCAGTACCAAAATAAATAAATATTAAAAAGTCAGGGCTGGGGATTTAGCTCAGTGGTTCCACCGCCTGCTTTGCAAGCACAAGGTCCCAAATTCAATCCCCGGTACCAAAAAAAAAAAAAAAAAAAATTTAGCTCAGTGGTTCCACCGCCTGCTTTGCAAGCACAAGGTCCCAAATTCAATCCCCGGTACCAAAAAAAAAAAAAAAAAGATTTAAAAAGTCAGCAGAACAGTTTATTAGCCCCAAATTTGCCCATCTTATCTCATCTCCCTTCAAGAGGAATATCAAGATAAGAATAACTGAAGTCATTTTCAGAGGAATATCCAATTACCAGCCTTTACAATGTCCAGTTCCAGACCCTTCCCCATTGGAGCAATGCCTAAAAAGCTCTAGCCATTATCCTTAATCAGTAGTCATCTGGGTCCCAGGAAAAGCAGAGATGAAACCCCACTTATGTACTTTAGTTCTGCTGTGAAAGCACAAAACAGTCATGTGCCCCTTCCCAGCATTTCATCATTTTATTGCATTTTGACTGAGCCTTAGCTATCTCACCTTGGGCTGGTGGGGAAGATGATCACAGACTTGAAAAAGAAATTAAAAACAAAACAACAAAACCAAAAGCATATTTACCTATTTTAACACTTGTTATTTCTGTCGCATGTTTTTACGTTTCTCAGTTGAATGGCAACTTCTTATTATTTTGAAACATTTTGCTAAATATTATGGTTTTTTGCTATATAATTGTGCAATTTTGTTACTCCAGGATAGTGTATTTTTTAGGTAACAGTTTTTTAGTCCAGATCATTTCTGAATTTTATAAAATGTATAGGTAATTTTAAAACTTTGTATGCAAAAATATGAATAAATTTAAGGCAAACATTTATTTTGTGAACTTTATTAATATACTGGATTTTTAACCCATGATATCTATAAAGGAATCACATAATATAAGTTTTACATAGTACATATCACATCTACATATATTGTTCTCAAATAGGTTGTGGCTCCTAAAAAAGCTCGCTTAGCACAAGCTCAGAAATCTTTAGCTGAAACAATGGAGCTTTTGAATGAAAAGAGAGCAGAACTGGCAGAAGTAGAACATCATTTGGAGAATTTACAAAAGACGTTTCTTGAGAAAACAGAGGAAAAGGCTGCTTTAGAAGATCAGGTGGAACTTTGTGCTAAGAAACTTCAAAGGGCTTCACAACTAATCGGAGGACTGGGTGGAGAAAAATCAAGGTCAGATTTCTACTTGTTTTCACAAGATTAAAGAAATGTCAGGCTTGAATATGTGACCTTCTTTGGGTATTCATTATGATTACTACGGATTTTAGAATGACTGGTTGAAAGTGTGGGACATTCTACAAGGCACTTGCCCAGGTCCCTCCACAGAGGAATAACAATGTTTTGATGGTCTCTTGGTTACTTTTCTCCTTGTTAAGACAAAATACCCGACATCCAAAGTTAAAGGAGGAAAGGTTTATTTTGGCTTACAGTTTGTAGAGGTTTCAGTTCATAGTCAGCTGGCTTCAATGCAGGGTGGCATGACAGAGGGCCATCATGGAGGAGAAATAGTCTGTGGTGCAGTAAATAGAAGGCAGCAAGCAGCAAATAGCCACCCATCTTTCCCTTTTATTGCACCCAGGCTACCAGCCTTTTGGGTGGTGGCATCCAGAACTATGCAAATTCCAACAGTGGACTGATTTAGTATCATGAACCCTTAATTCCAGTATCACCCTAGATCAGCCAGCTCCAAAAAGCCCCACCTGTGAGTACATGAGGCTTTGGGAGGACATCTAGATAAAAGCCATAACAAATGCTGTTTGTAGCTTACTTTTAAATAGTTTTTTTTTAAGGGTCAGGGATTTAGCTCAGTGGTTCCGGCGCCTGCCTCACAAGCACAAGGTCCTGAATTCAATCCCCATTACCTAAATAAATAGCTTTTTTAAGTCAAATGAGGCACATGTTAACAAATTTTAATCTAAATATCATATGTTATGCAATTCTTTTACAAGTTTAGCTAGGTGTGGTGGCACATGCCTGTAATCCCAGCACCGGAGAGGCTGAGGCAAGAGGATTGCTGTGAGTTCAAGGCCAGCCTGAATTGCATAGCAAGACCCTGTCTCAAAAAAAAAATTATTTTACAATTGTATGTATGTTCAAATTGTTATATAATAAAATGGTTCGAGAGCATACTGGATGTATGGCTCACTTGGTTAAAATTTACTTCAAAGAAGATATAAATGGTTTGATTTAGCAAAGCCAGTTAGGATTATTTTAACCTGTTTACCTGGACTGGATGGCTAGCTATTGCACTTATTATCTTTGTTAAATGAATAGCACAATAAGGTGATATGTCTTTGGCAATACATTATAGTTCAGGTTAGAGGATTTTGGAACATACTTTTTTATTATGAGTGTTTCATTCAGTGGAAAAAATGTCAACCTCAGTAATACTATCTCAACTTCTATATAGCTTAAATTTAAAAACTTCAATGGACAGTCTTAACAGTAGTGTTCTACACACACAGTTCAGCAGTAAATATTGAAACAAATAGTACAGCTGCTAGACCAAACCATCCTAGAGAAAATTATTAGGCAAAAAATACTGGTGTTTTGCTTGGTTTTGCTTATTCTGAAGGGTTAAGTCCTACAAGAAATACCTAATATTGTAATAATGAAAGGTAGATTGTTATTTGTATAACATATATATTATAGCATATTCAAACTAAAAGGAATGTAACCTCTTTACATTGCTGATAAGCAAATGTCCCACATTTAATAATTTTTTGCTGGACTGGGGATTTAGCTCAATGGTTCCAGCACCTGCCTGGCAAGCGCAAGGTCCCGAGTTTGATCCCTGGGACCAAAAATAAAGAAAGAGAGAGAGAGAGAGAGAGAGGGGAGAAATAATTTTTTTACTGCAAAATTTGGACTGGAAGCCCTGACTCTTTCAGTTACTGTCTTCTGTCATTCCCTACTGTGAGTCTCTTTTCCATTTGTTTGATCACACAGATGGGCTCAAGCTGCAGATGATCTTCAGATAACATATGAAAATTTAACTGGTGATGTCTTAGTATCAGCAGGAGTAATAGCCTACCTTGGTGCTTTCACTTCTGGCTTCCGACACACGTGTACTAAAGATTGGAGCATGTTGTGCAAGGTACTAGTACTTTCTGTTTTAGAACAAAGTATGGGTTTAATTCTTTGAGAGAAAGGATGATAATAAGGACAGACAAAGGAAGAAATAACTGAAAATATGGGGTCTCATTTTTAAATTTTTGCTTTACTTTTATCAGTAAAATACTAATCCATAGTCAAACTTTTTACTCAGTTTCTTTTTTCTGGTCCTTAGAGTTATTACGTGACAGCTGATGACAGTTTAATCAGTACTCTAATTTTTAAAAATACTTTAGTTAGATGAAAGAAAACATCAGGTTTTTTTCTTTCTTTCTTTCTTTTGTTCTTTCTTTCTTCCTTTTTTTTTTTTTTTTTGGTACCAGGAATCGAACTTGGGACCTTGTGCTTGCAGAACCACTGAGCTAAATCCCTGGCCCTGATTTTCCTTATTTCTTACAGGAGAAAAAAATCCCATGTTCAGAGGAGTTCTCCTTAAGTAAGACCCTGGGTGATCCGGTAAAAATTAGAGCCTGGAATATTGCTGGATTACCAACAGATACATTCTCTATAGATAATGGAGTGATTGTTGATAACTCTAGACGCTGGTAAGAAACATAAAGTTGTAATTTTCCCATTATTTTATATGAAAGTTTTCAAATATATGTAAAAGTTGAAAGAATTTTACAGTAAGCACCACTATAGCTGCTACCTCCTAGGTTATGCAGTTAGCATTTAATATGTGCTGCTGTTTTCTTTTTTTTTTGGTACTGAGGATTGAACTCGGGACCTTGCACTTGAGCAGCAGGCGCCGGAACCACTGAGCTAAATCCCCAGCCCTGTATGTGCTGCTTATCAATTCATCCCATTCAATCCACGAACATCTTTTTTAATGCATTTTAGTATAGATTAAGACATAGATATATTTTCTCCTAGACATATCAGCATGGCTTCATTAGCTAAAGTTCAATATTTTTTAAGCTTTTCTGAGGTACAATTTCATACAGTGTTCAATTTCATACAGTGTTATTTCCCTAATTTCTCTTTCAGTGGGTTTGGTGTTCATATATAGGAATGCTATTTATTTTTGAGCATTGGCATTGTATCCTGCTATGCTGCTGAATTTGGTTATTAAATCTGGAATTCTTTTGGTGGAGTATTTAGGGCCTTCTATGTATAGCATTATGTCATCCACAAACGATAATTTAACTTCTTTCTTTCCTAGCCTTATTCTTTTTGTTTCTTTCTCTTGTCTAATTGCTCTCTCTAATGTTTGCAGAACTATATTAAGTAAGAGTGGTGATAGTGGACATCCTTGTCTTGTTCTTGATTTTAGAGTGAAACCTTTCCTTTTTTGTCCATTTAGTGTGATGTTGGCTGTTGGCTTTTATTAGATTGAGATAAAGACCATCTATTCCAATTTTCTATAGGGTTTTATCATAAATGGGTGTTGGACTTTGTCAGATTCTTTTTCTGCATCTATTGAGATGATCATATGGTTTTTGTCCTTGGCTCTTTTAATATGGTTTATTACATTTATTGATTTGTGTATGTTGAACCACCCCTGCATCCCTGGGATGAATCCTACTTGGTCATGGTGTATAATCTTCATGATGATTTGCTGCATTGTTTGCCAATATCTTATTGAGGATTTTTGCATCTGTGTTCATTAAGGAGATTGGCCTGGAGTTCTCTTTTTTTGGTTAGATCCTTCTCTAGTTTTGACATCATGGTAATGCTTACTTCGAGGAAGGAATTTGGGAGTATTGCTTCCCTTTCAATTTCATTAAAGAGTTTGAGGAGTAGCAGGATTAGATATTCTCTAAATTTTTTGTAGAATTCAGCAGTGAATCCACCAGGGCCTGGGCTTTTCTTTGTTCGTAGTTTTTAAATTACTTCTTTAATTTCATTGACTGATACTGGTTTATTTAGAATTTTTATATCTTATTGATTCAGCTTTGATAATTTATATATATCTAGGAATCTGTCCATTTCTTCTGTGTTTTCCACCTTATTGCAATACAGATTCTCAAAATATGTTTTGATGATCTTCTGGATTTCTGCAGGGTCTGTTGTGATTTCACCCTTTTCATTTCTAGCTGCATGGATTTGAGTCTTTTCTTTCCTTTTTTGATAAGGCTGGCTAAGGGTTTGCCAATTTTATTTAATTTTTCAAAGAACCAACTCTTCAATCCATTGATTCTTTGTACTGTTTTCTTAGTCTCATTTGCATTGATTTTTGCTTTGATCTTTATGATTTCTTCCCTCCTGTGAGCTTTGGGTATGACTACTTCTTCTTTTTCTAGAAATTTGAGGTTCAACATCAGGTTATTTGAATTCATTCTGTTCTTCTGATATGAGAATTCACCGCTATAAATTTCCCTCATAGGACTGCTTTCATTGCATCCCATAAGTTCTGGTATGTTGTATGCCACATCCTTTTTCTGCATTGAGGTCTACCTCTTCATTTTCTCTGTGGGCTCCAATTATCCCTTCAGATCCTTCCTGGCTCCCAGAGATCCACCTCCCTCCTTCTTTTATTCCCCAAGTTGTTATATCCCAGTGACTTTTGACTGAGTTTTTTGGGTCTTCTATGTAAAGTATCATATCATCAGCAAATAATGACAGTTTCACTTCTTCCTTTCCTATCTTTATTCCTTTTATTTCTTTCTCTTTTCTATTTTCTGTGGCTAATGTTTCCAGAACTATATTGAACAGGAGTGGTGATAGTGGGCATCCGTGTCTTGTTCCTGATTTTAACATGAAAGTTTTCTGTTTTTGACCATTTAGTATGATGTTGGCGGTTGGTTTTTCAGAGATAGCCTTAATCAGCCTGAGATAAAGACCTTCTATTCCAATTTTCTGTAGTGTTTTTATCATGAATGGGAGTTGGATTTTGTCAAATGCCTTTTCGGCATCTATTGAGATGATCATATGGTTTTTGTTCTTGGCTCTATTAATATAGTGTATTACATTTATTGCTTTACTTATGTTGAACTATCCTTGCATCCCTGGGATAAATCCGACTTGCTCAGAGTGTATGATCTTCTTGATGACCCTCTGTATTCTGTTTGGCAGTATCTTGTTAGCTTCCAATCATTCTTAAATGCCTTCTCACAAAAAGAAGGTTGGTCTCTACTTGCTCTTGGTATTACACATTTGGTTTCTCTTGGAAACAGGTTGGGAGGTCTCCATTACTCTGTTTGGCATTCCGTCTTAGGAAGAGCCTCTATAATAGGGCATAGAATGGAACTTTTCAGACTCCCTGCCCCTCCTTCCTATGACACCCAAATTCTGTCTTGTAGCTATAGTTAGTCATAAGCAAGAATTTCCTACCCCTCTCTTAGGAGTAGGACATCTTGACTTAGTAAAGGTATAGTTTGGCCCAAATATTTTCCTGCTTCTGCCCTAAGGACTGACTTTTCCTTTTGACCTTCTTTTAGCTACAATGTTATGTTTTGCTTCCAGGATTCTCAGGAGTATTGTTAACCAAATACATGTCAATTTTCCAGCTTGGTATTTCCTCAGTCACATATGTAACATAAATTTATATCCTAAACCTATATGAGACATATACCCACTGCTATTGATTCTCAGGGAATGCTATTTCCCAGGCATAAGGGTGACAGGAATCAAAACATTTTCTTACCTCCTTATATACAGGGTTGGAATTTGTTATCCAAATTTTCAGAAAGCCTTTTTGAGGGCTCTCAGTTCTAACCTCCTTCTATATATAGACCCAGTGAGCCCTTCAGTAGTCAGACTGGCAGTCTCTTCAAGTCTAGCTGTTAATTCAGCTCACGTGCATAATATTTTGGATTTCAGTTTTGTCTGTTTCCACAATATATACATATAGAAATATGTATGTATTTTGTCTGTCTTCTAAATGATTACTTCAATTCACCTATATATTTAAAATGATGTCATTTTATCTGCCAGTACTACGTGGAAGGACGATTTTTAAGTTAGTTAGCCAGTCATGCTCTTTGGACCATAGTTTATAATTAATCAATTGTGGTTACTCCTCATATTTCTAGAAGTTTGCTTATAATATTGTGCAGTAGGACTGGGGATGTAGCTCAGCGGTGCAGGACCTGCCTGGCAAATGCAAGGCCCTGAGTTCAATTCCTGGTACAGGAAAAAAATGTTGTGCAGTAGTTGAGAGCAGTTTAGATTGGGGTCAGAATACTTGCATTTAACTTTTCCTCTATCATTTTCTGTCTTGAGATTTCAGTAACTTACTTGACCTCTCAGTGCCCCAGTAACCACATCTGTAAATGGTGGTAATAACTCCTACTTCATAGGAATATTGTAGGAAAGCATTTAGCATATAAGTGCTCAATAAATTTTAATTTTAAATAATTAATCTTCAAATAGGTTGTTATATGTTTTTATCTTAAATTCTGATTTTTGAACTTGTTTTAACCATGATGAAAATACTTACTTGCTCCTTTTTTAGTGTTTATTAATACATCACTTTGGCTACTTAACAACAAAGGTTTATTTCTCACCAAATTACTCCGTCTTTCACAAACAGATGGATATTGCTGCTGCGTTTTTCAGATTGCCTAAAGTTCTCAACTATAGACTAGTATTATTTTCTTCCCTAAAGTAAGGTATACTTAGAATACAAATACTAAACCCCATTTTCCGATATTCATATAAGGTTGTATATAATGGAATCACATTTCTTTTGGAGTAAACAAGAATCTCTTTAATTATTGTATTGCTGAGAACATTGATCTAGGCATTACCAAGAGCATTGATTAACTTGCAGGTATTGTTGCTATTTGCAATGGGTTGAACAAATACTGTATTTTTTTCACTTATAAGGGCATATAAGAGAGAAAAAAAATCCCCTTAAACAGGGGCTCTAAAGGTAGTAAAATATCTAGTCTAAATACTAGGGCATTTTTAAGCAGTTGTAACCAAAATAGTTGTCTTATTTACAGAACACTTCTGCTCTGTTTGCTGTGATAGGAAAAGTAAAATTTAGCTAGTGTCTGAATCTTTTTGTGTTTTAAGCAGGATTTCAGCACCATTTGAATTAAGAAAGAAAACAACCAGGTAGCTCGTTTTATGTTTGGGAAGGAAAGAAAATATAGGGACATAATTATCTGGTAGTAGTTGATTAAAAACCTTATTTGTAGGCAAAGAGAACAGGAATTTCAGCCCTAGAAGCTGTTAAAATAGAAGGAGGGTATCCAGGAAAGCTCAAGTCATATGAGACCAAAAACAAAACAAAACAAAACAAAAAACCTGTTCTGTGGCTCTGGCTGTGTTGTTTAAAGAAAATTGAATCGCTTCTCGGCCTTTTGGCTAAGATCAAGTGTAGAAAATTGAATTTACTGTTCTGAATCCAAAAGGAGCCTAGGACAGCGAGCATAATTACTAAGGAAGAGGAAAGTTTATCATATTTTAAAGTGAAACAGCTGAGAGTGGTGGCACGTTTCTGTAATCCCAGCACTCGGAAGGCTAAGGCAGGAGGATCACTGTGAGTTCGAGGCTAACCTGAGTTACATAGTGGGTTCAAGGTCAGCCTGGATGGACTACAGCCTTGTCTCAAAAAAGTAAATACAATAAGATAATAATTAAATTGAAACTATGAATCATTTTTTAAATTAAAAAAAATTAATTGACACATAATGTCCACATTTTTATGGACTACAGCGTGACATTCCAATGCATGTATATTATGTGTAATGATCAAATCATGGTAATTGGGATATACATAATCTTAAATATTTATCATTTCATTTTGGAAACATTCAACGTCATCTCTACTAGCTCTTAGAGATGTATAATTAATTATTGTCAGCTATAGTTATTCTACAATAGAACATTAGAAGTTATTCTCCATATCTACCTGCACCCTTGTATCCATTAATCAAACTTTTCTCTAACCCCTCTAGCCCCTTTTATTTACTCATAAACTGAGAAAATTCTTTATAATCTAATAGATCACTTATAAATTTTTAGCAAATATTTTATAGTAATTCTTTTCATATTATGTTAATCAATGCCATATATTAAAATTTCCCTGAAGACAGTGTGCTATGTTGGAGAGAGCATAGTTCATAGATTCACAAAGTCCTCTTTCTTTTAACACTGAACTAATTTTGGGATCTTGGGATCTTGGGAATAGACTCTCTGAGACTGAATTTCTTCATTTGAAAAATAAATAAGGGGGCCGGGGATTTAGCTCAGTGGTGCTGCTGCCTGCCTTGCAAGTGCAAGGTTCCGAGTTTGATCCCCAGTACCAAAATAAATAAATAAATAAATAAGAATAAAACTCTTTTTCACTTTTTCTCAAAACACTTATCTGAAGGTTAATCCTGATAATAGATGTGAAATACTTTGTATTTGTACAGATTGATGGTGATATTTATCATTTAAATTACATAATTTTTAAAAAAATCTCAACATTTTTTATTCCTCTAAGAATATTTGTTCTTATATTTTTAGGCCTTTAATGATTGACCCCCAGGGTCAAGCCAATAAGTGGATCAAAAACTCTGAGAAAGAAAATCAGCTTAGTGTTATTAAGTTATCAGATTCAGATTATATGAGAACTTTGGAAAACTGTATTCAATTTGGAACTCCACTTCTATTAGAAAATGTTGGTGAAGAACTGGATCCCTCTTTGGAGCCCTTACTGCTTAGACAAACTTTTAAACAAGGTAAAAGTCAGTTAATTGTAGTTGATAGAATTGAAAAATTGAATTATCTTTGGACTTATGACTGAGGCACACTGTTCGGACTATAACCTGCCTCTCTGACTTACAACTCATCTTTTTTTTTTTTGTACAGTCTGTACGTCTTGTTTATAGAGCCTCGATGTCTTTTTTTGTACGGTATGCCTCATTTATAGAGTACTGTAATTTTTGCTGATTGTCCTATACAGGACAGTACTATGGTTTTATGTTCTGTTATACATTACAATACTGCATGTAAGAGATGCAAATAAAAGCAAAGTCATGAAGTTGGAGTTTCCTTTGACCATTTCTCTGTTCTGAATATTGTAATGTACATACTTTATACAATTCCTCGTATAGCGACCAATTCACTGAAAGACCTAAACACAGGTACAGAAGTAGGCCATTAAACAAGGAATATCTCTAACTTAAAACTTCTGTTTCATTGTTATTAGTGAAAAGAAATTTGGAACAAGCTAAATTGGGGATGAATCTTACATTTTAAAATGAATGTCTCACCCTTTCTTCTTTGGATTAACCACTATGTAGACTCTTGTTTTTTAGAGACATGAAGAAGTCAAAGCCAGTTGAAGCCATCCTGAAGTTCCTTTATCTTGTGACCATTGACCATAGTCTATTATTGTGAATAGTGGTGTGGTAAATGTGGACCTGAGATGAGTTTAGATAAACACCGCCCACCTTATATCTTTCTGCTTATGAAAATTTTATCTCTGCAAGGTTGTAGTACTTTTTTCCCTGGTATTGGGGATTGAACCCAGAACCTCCATGCTGAGCTACATTCCCAGGGTTTAAAACAAAGCAAACAAACAAACAAAAACAGCTCGTCATTAAGTTGCCCTAATTGAGCTCAAATTTTCAGTACTCCTGCCTCAGCCTCCCAGAGTGTTGGGATTAAAGGAATATGCAATTCTAGTGCTTTTAAGAGCTTTAGTCATTAAAAAAAATATTTTTCAATCATGCTTGAAATTTGATGGAGGAAGGAAACCCAAAAGGAATCTTGTTTTACAAAACCTATATGACAGAGAAAATGTCCTATACTTCTCCAGAATGAATCCTGCTGTTATGATTCCTTACTTGCATCTGTGTCTGTGACTTTTTTGTACCTATTTTCTGCTTCAAATTACTTTAGGATTCTGTTTGTAAATTAGCCAAGGCCTTAGAAGTATATAGTGGAAGGGTCTTTGTAATTTTGGCTCACATTTTATGCATTTATTTTCTGAAATATAGGAGGCATTGATTGCATCCGACTTGGTGAAGTCATTATTGAGTATTCCTTTGATTTCAAGTTTTATATTACTACAAAACTGAGAAATCCACACTACATGCCAGAGCTAGCTACAAAAGTATCTTTGCTCAATTTTATGATAACTCCAGAAGGACTTGAAGATCAATTGCTGGGTATTGTTGTTGCAAAGGAAAGGTATGTTTTTTCTTAGATGTTTCCAAGAATATTTATGGACATTAATATTGATATTTTGTGATTAGTTTGAAACTTAAATTTCGTATTTTGTTATCATAAGCTAAATAATTATATTATCCTTTAAAAATAGCCATTCAGTACTAAGTTATAAGCCAAGCGTGTTATATTAAGCTTCTAGTATGGACAGTAGGATTTAGTGACATGCCACAACTTCTCCCTTGTATGTGATTCGGACATAATCAGAAATACATTCGAAGGCTTGTATCCAGAATGTTAATGAATTTAGAAACTGCTTGGAAGAAAGAAAAAGCAAGGCACAAAAATATATGTACTATAAGTAATATGTTATTAAAAAATTGAGGCCGGGGATTTAGCTCAGTTGTTCCGCCGCCTGCCTAGCAAGCACAAGGTCCTGAGTTCGATCCCTGGTACAAAAAAAAAGAACACCAAAAAAATGCTAAGTGGCTGGGTGTGGGGGCACATACCTATCATCTCAGCACTCTGGGAGGTTGACACAGGAGGCTTAAAAGTTCAAGTCCTGCCTCACCAACTTAGTGAAACCTCGTCTCAAAATAAAAATTTTAAAAAGCTAGGGTTGGAGCTCAGTGAAAAGGCTCTAGGTTCAATCCCCAGGAACCCTCCTCCTCTCAAGAAGATGAATACCTATCTATCTCTCTATCTAAAAGAAAAAAATTAAGAAGAAATATACCTGATGGGCCAGGGATTTAGCTCAGTGGTTCTGCCGCCTGCCTTGCAAGCTCAAGGTCCTGAGTTCGATCCCTGGTATAAAAAAAAAAAAGAAAGAAATATACCTGAATGCTAACAGTGACAATTCTTGGTGTGGTAAGATTATGGCTAAGTTTTTTTTATTATTTTCTTCATACTTTATGTATTTTTTCATAGCTCATATGTATTTTTCTAATGAGAAAAATAGAACACCAAGAGAGGCTACAGTAAAAAACTGCTTGTGGAAGTGTATCTTTGGTTTCCCTTGAAACTTAATATAACATCAAGTGATCTATTACATGAAATTAAATTAAAAGTGAGAATATGTAACTATGAGGTAGTTTTGTTATTTCCAATATTTAAATCCCACTTGTATTGTATGACAAAACTATTATAACATACTCTATGACATGCTGGATAGGGTTATTTTGAAATTTCACCTCATCTTTGTTTATTAAGACATAAATGACAACTTTGCCTTTTGCTTAAAGAGCCAATTATATGAGCAGTCATCCTTTCTATGTTTTCTAATATAGGAAGGATGATGAAAATGAGAGCTAGTGATCACAAGGCCAAGGAACAGATAGGAAGTTTCATACTGAGTCTCTTCTCTAGTTTTTATTCTCACATAACTGGATATATCATAAGGACAAATCTGATATATTCATAGATTTACTATTTCACATCTTATTGTCATATTTTACATATATAAATGATATTTCCTTTGCTTGAATTTCTCAAGTTGTTATTTGTATGCAAGTATTTTCCATTATGTTATAATAAAGATATCAATCACTTTAGTTTATGTTATATACCTATAAAATTATTTAAATGTCTACAAAATCTTGATATATAATATTTAGATATGAATTAGATAAAATGCTACAAATTTAGACTGAATGTTTCTTTCTTTTCAGACCAGAATTAGAAGAAGAACGAAATGCTCTTATTCTTCAGTCTGCAGCTAATAAGAAGCAACTAAAAGATATAGAGACAAAAATTTTAGAAACATTATCATCTTCAGAAGGGAACATTTTAGAAGATGAAAGTGCAATTCAAGTTTTAGACTCTGCCAAAATTATGTCCAATGAGATAACAAAAAAACAGCAGGTGAAAATAGAAATATTTTGATTCTGTGATTCTAATATGCCTCCAATCCTTGAGGAAAAATGCTGTAGTAGGCTTCCCGGAAAAGAAAAAGATTGATAAAATACAAGAACACAGAAACTTATACTCACAGGAGATTATCTTACTGTTGAATTACTCAAAACTTGGGCTGATCTATATGGTATCTATACACAGAAAAATCAATTTAGAATGAAAGTTTAAAAAATATGTATTATTAATGAGTAGGTAAGGCAGGCTAGTCAGGTTTGTTTAAGTTTTAGTTGACTAAATATAAAAAAAAGTTTTAGTTGACTCTTCACCTAATAATCAAATTTGTGAACTTGTCTTGCCTCTGTTCATGGTTGGAATCTGAGGTGTGTAGAGGTAATTTGTTGACAGGATAGTAAATGGTTCTAGGAACCACTAAGATGTTCTTACATTACCTTGTCATGTGTTTATCAGAGAGAGAGGTATGAGAGATAAGAGTGGCAGGTGGAGGAAGGATGGCAAGTAGTCTATAGCCAATAATATATGTATTGCAAATTCATCTAACAAAACTAAATGCTGTTTTTATACTACTTTTTACAGAATCACAGTGCTATGAGTAGAAGAGATCTTTCTGTTCTAGCCTTTCTCTTTTGTACTTTATAAGTGAGAAAACCAAGGCCTGGGAAAGTTAGTTACACAATTAAATTGTATTGCAGAATGACTTCTGTAAGCTAACTTTATTGATTTTTCAAGTCTTTCAGTTCTCCTTGGTCCCACTCAAGGCATTAGGTACTCCTTCACTTTTGGATGATTAAAGCATAAAAAGAAACCCAAACAGAGGTTATACTTGGTATTCTTCCAGTACCAGCTCCACTGTGAGGCAAAGAATTTTCAAAAGGTCTAGGTACCCTTCCTTTTGGATAGGTTTAGTTTTGGATAGTGAGGGTAAGGAGTCTTTCTGGTTAAGTATACTAATTTTTTTTCAGTCTTGGGAAAACCAAAGAAGTGGGATCTTAGAGTAATAGTTTATGGCAGCCTTCATTTGGGACCATGGCTGAGATTTTTTTTTATAGCATTCCCCTTCCCAATTCTTGTTTCTTAGAGCAGAAGCTTCTCATCGTCACACACACACACACACCAGACTGTTTTTCAAAGCAGGAAGAGAATAGGAATATTTATTAGATTATTTCCCATTACGATTCAAGGAGAAAAGGAGATACAAGTATTTATTGGTTCAAATGCTTTATCTTATAATGAGAAAAATTTAATAAATCATAATATCTTTCTGATTGGATTCTATTATTACAAACATATTTTAAATTCAGTATATATTTAGATTCAAAATGTACTCTGAAAAAAAAACAAAAAACCCAAAATGTACTCTGAATCTGGCCCTGACTTCTATTCTGCCTTTCTTCCACTCACTTAATGTAAGTGAGTCTAAAATCTACTTTTCTTTTTATCCCAACCCACAGGATTAAATACACACACACACACACACACACACACACACACACACACACACAC